TCCAACAGTTCCATGTCCTTTTTATGCTGTGGACACCAGAATTGCACACAATACTCCAGGTGAGGTCTCACGAGAGCAGAGTAGAGGGGCAGGATCACCTCCTTCGACCTGCTGGTCACGCTCCTTTTGATGCAGCCCAGGATACGGTTGGCTTTCTGGGCTGCAAGCGCACACTGAAGCCGGCTCATGTTCAGTTTCTCATCAACCAGCACCCCAAGTCCTTCTCCGCAGGGCTGCTCTGAATCTCTTCTTTGCCCAGCCTGTAGCTGTGCCTGGGATTGCTCTGACCCAGGTGTAGGACCTTGCTCTTGGCATGGTTAAACTTCATGAGGTTGGCATCAGCCCACCTCACAAGTATTTTATGAAAATTTTATAGTGTTCTGTGATTAGCTGCAGCAGCATGTTGCATTCAAAAATATTAATTATTTTATCCTAAGATTTTGAAATATGTGTAAAGTAACTGCTTTTCTTGTTTCTTGAAATTCTTTATAGCGGACATAGTTTTCTTCTGAAGATCTAAGATAGAAAATTTCTGGGTAGAAAACTGTAGATTATTGTTTGTGAACAGATATTTTACTTGCTAACTAATAGGACTAAGTTCATTATCCACAAGATAACCTTCCTAATAAGCTTAGATCTGTTGTAAACAAGAAGCTGAAGATTAGCAGTTCATCTGACTTGTACATAGGTGCCCTTTCTGTGTTTATCTGACAGTTTCTTTCTGTTCTGGTTGACTGATATTTTCCTCTGGGAAAAAAAGAGAGTAAAGAAAGAAGGGCAGCTAATTAATACTGCAGATTTTGTTTCTATTTTGAACTCATCAGCATTTTCCCTTTTCAGCTACATTAGGGGAAAGTATCAAATAGCGTCTAATGACCTATAACTGCTAGACAATTAAGATACCATTTCCCTGCTCCTCTTCCCCTATCCTGTCACCCTCTCTAAAGTACTTAAAACACTGGGCAGATTTCATCGCTTAGGAAAATAGTATAATTCAAGTCAATTAATAAATAATAATGCATTCTTGCTTTGAAAACTGTTCAGTTTTGATCAGCTCCATTCTATATTAGACAACAGCAAATCCAGGATGTCTACACAGAAATGAAAATTGTTCTAAGTACGAAGAGATTCCTCTTTGTGAAAAACCTGAGGACTGACACTCTTTACAAGCAGATATTAAAACCAAAATATAGTGGAAAGACATAAACCACTTCTGTGTACTTAGGATCAGGTAGGCTTTCATATTTCTCTAATCTCATGTACAAAAGTCAGAAGAAATTGAAAAGAGAAAATTTATAAATCACAGTGAAAACTTTTTGTAAGCATTAAAATAAAAATAAGTGAAAATTCTTTGTGAAAACTAACGTAATTAAAGGAAAAACACTTCATTTTAGTGTGCTAATTTCAGTGACATTGTTAAAAACTGAGAGTTTATTGGAATTAAAGTAGTTTGCCAGTCTTTATAAAAAAGTATGATAATACTGGGTAAGTTTGAAAGGAAGGGCTAGATCACTGCTCAGGTTGGGCTGGGTATTGGTCGGTGGGTGGTGAGCGTTTGTATTCTCTTCCCTTGTTATTTCCCTTATCATCATTATTATTGGTGGTAGCAGTAGTGGTTTGTGTTATACCTTAGTTACTGGACTGTTCTTATCTCAACCTGTGGGAGTTACATTTTTTCGATTCTCCTCCCCATCCCTCCGGGAGTGGGGGGAGGAAGCGGGGGAGAGTGAGCGGGCGGCTGCGTGGTTCTGTGTGGTTCTGAGTTGCCGGCTGGGCTTAAACCACTATCTAATTATATAAAACGATAGGAAGATTTTATACCCTAATACACTGACCACATAATTATTATTTCCTTAATTGTTCAATTCATAGCACCCTGCATGTTATTCTCAGCATTTGCTACTTCTTGTGATGTGTTAAATTAGGAGGAATATTGTTTTAAAATGGCAGATCATATTTTCATATTTGCACAGCTAATCACCAGGGGGAAGGAACTGGTGCGAGCAGGCCCATGGCCATGAATTCCACCCCATCCCTTGAGGAGCACCATACCTTGCCACGTACCTGCACCCACCGCAACCTTACACTGCAGCATATCATAGAATCATAGAATAGTTATGGTTGGAAAGGACCTTAAGCTAATCTAGTTCCAGCCCCCCTGCCATGGACAGGAACAGAGGGAAATCAGCCTAATGCTGTAGCTTTGTGTGCATGCTTATTGCTAATTCAGGAGTGCTCTGTGTTGGAGTTTAGTATTAACATGGTTATGCTTTCTCATAATTAATGCTTCAGTAAACCCACAGGGCAGTAGCATCCAAGTTTCCAGGAAACAATAAAGGTTCAAGTTTTTGTGGGGAGGAATTTATAGCCGGTGAGGATGCACAGTTTAGATTTCTTAGCTTCCTAACAATGCTAGCACTTTTTTTCTTTCTTTATTTTTTTAATATGCAACCTACTGAAAAATCACAAGAAAGTTTTTATGCAAATGTTTAAATATATTACTTAAACACCACAAGAATGCATTGCAGTGTCAAAAATGAAAGCAGGAATTAGGGAAAGACTAGCAGCTAGAGCAATGCTTGGATATTGCAAGCTGTCAGCCCCTGGTTTCAATGCTTCATGTAAAGGATGGTGTTCTTTTGTTTCCTGGGGATGGCATTGATAAATGAACTCCTTTACTTTGAACAGCTTTTATAATTTGCTACTAGTGTCAATACAGGCATCCCATAAGGATACGTCACGGAAATATTTATTTTGAAATACTTGTACAAAATACAAAAGTGAGAGAAAGAAATTCCGTTTGACTGTGGATTTAGGTAGAGATCAGAATACAAAGAGATGCCCTATATATAACTGAATTTTATTATCTTCTTGGCCAAGACTGATTTCATTTTCAAATGCTTTGAGGCATGGAATTTTCTTGATTGAAACACTTCCAGAAGAATTCATGTCTGTAAATGACACTGTTGTTTTAATTTGTTGCATGGTGTATTAAAGGAAACATTTCATACATCACTTCCTTTTCCTTTCCACATAGTTTCTTACCCTTACTTCTTTACTTTTCAGAGCTCTTGTTGACTCACAAAGTCTGTGTGTGGTTCCTGTAACTTAGAGAGCTCTCACTTGAAACAACAGGAAAAAATAATAATCTCCAGCCTTTTCATTTTTTTTAGACAGAATATAGGTCTCTCTTCTTGTGTGGAAGAAAACAAAACACTGGTTATGGCTGGGACTACTTGCTGGGTGGATTTCTGAGCATGGGTTGGCACATTCATTGATGGAGTAGAAGGGCCTATGCTCTCAAGAGCACAAGGTAGCCTGGACCTACTGCATGAAACGCGAATGTAGACTAACAGGATGGGTCAAAGTTCTGATCCTAGAATCGCATCAAGCCTTGCAGTTTCATGAGCATTTGATTGGGCTTTATCATTTGAGAAAAGGAAGGAAAAATAAGACAAAGATTAAAATAAATAGGAATAAACTAAATGGAAAAATAGAAGACAGAGATGAGAATTAGTTAAAAATGAACATGTCAGAGCCTTAAAAGGAGAAATATTATGGAATAATTAGAACTCAAAAAGAGCAAACAAAATGTTAATTTTACTTTAAAAGGAATAGAAGTTAACATGAAAATGCAATAAGTAAGTCTTTCACGATGAGGCAAAGGTAATGATGTATTTGGAAAGTGCAAATGTTGGGACAGTGTATTTTGTCTGATTTATTTTTATTGTGCTTTCCTCTTAGACACCAATTTAGATCTACAGGTTAATAGACAAAAGAACCAACAGTCAGGTTGAAATCATATATAAATAATACAGAAGTCATGACATTGTAGTATTAAATACCCAAATGAGCAAAATCAAAGAATATTGTTGCTTATTTATTGCCTAAATAGAACCTAAAATTAACTGAAGCCAACACATGTTTTTTTGAACAAATCATATGCAGATTCTAGTCTGCTGCCTATGTGGAAAAATCTCTGACTCCTATTATCTATTGTAATTCCATGCAGAAAGCCTACAAAGAAAAAGCTGAGAGAAAATTGGAGATTAAATTTTTCTTTCTTTACCTGGTAGTCCATAAACAATAGACTGTTAATATTAGAATTTGTTATTGTAGTGCTTTAAGATTATAATGGCTTTCTGACCAAAAAAATAAAAGTTTCCCAAGCTTGTCAAAAGTTAGTAAAAATTGTTTCTAATAGAAAGAGTTAAGCAACCTCTGTTGAATGGTTGATATTGGACATCCTTTACAAGATTGATTTTAGTGTTAGATCATATGTGTTTCTTCAGTAATAGGGGTGTCTAAAATTACATTTTCTGAGGCTTCATTTTATTCTAGTGCCTTGTATACCAGTGGACAGGATTTAGTTAAATAATTAGGCTGGGCACAATAATAAGCATTTAAGCCTAACCTCATAATGTTTATGTGCTGCATAAATATTCTTCAGAGCCTGTCCTTCCCGGTGGGTCCACTGGGTATCCTCTTGGTAATCACATTAATAAACATAAGACAACTAGTTTTATACAGACTACCCAGTAAATCAGCTGGGATCATAAGTCTCTTTTCTTTTTCCCCTGATGCGTAGCCTGGGCAAGATCTTCCCAGGATCTGTGTAAAATGCCTAATTCCTGTTCATATATATCAGTTTAGGGTTCAGCACATGTCCTTAGGCAGAAAAGCACTGTTTTGTTTTTCAGTCAATAAAAACTACACACTCCCTGGCTACAGAACGGGGGTCTGAGCATTATATGTTTCCTTGACAGCTCTGTATTTTGCTAGCTGGAGGCATTTTGCTAGCTGATGTGTATTTCTTTAATTTCCATTCTCATGTCCACAGAAGAGTCTAATTAGATTCTGGTGATGCTTAAGACAACTAAAGGACAGTGTTTTCTCTGAACGTTATTCTTTCTAATGCAGAGGGCAGTAGATTTCTGATACGCAGCATTTAGCACACGTGAAAACAGATGTCTGCCTTTAGCAAACTGCCATTGGTCAAACTTAAATTGTGCTAAGGATAGCTGGGGAAGGGCTCCAAAGCTGGGGAGACTCACAAAGCCTGGGTCTGGAAGCACTGGAGTGCAGAGTGCTGATAGCAGTGTGCTCCCTAGTGCAAGTTTCTTCTTGGCACTGACACAGGCAAGTCTCCAGCTCAGACACAGATGTTCCTCCAGCAGCTCTGAAGTACCACTGCTCGCCGGATACAATGTCATACCCAGGGGTTCATGGTCCACCTCAGCTTTCTAAGAGGACTCGCTACTGATGAAATCAAATGCTTAGAGAAGCATGAGCTGCGGGGCTTTGTCTAATATTTTGTCTCGGAGTGGCTGGTAAATCCCCACAGCTCAGTACAGCACTGCTTTACACTGCTGCAACTTTCTTCAAAGCAAACTCTTGGTAAAATCCTCTAATTTTCCTCTGATTGTGAACCAGTGTGAAGACTGGAATGATTTGCCTGTTGGAAGAATGTTGACTCTCGAGTGGGAGTCGGAGGGACTGCAAACAGTGGGTATTGTTGTGATTATATTTGCATCTCTGAAGCTGCTTCATTTGCTGGGACTGATTGATTTTTCAGAAGGTAAAGTGGTCACTCACAGTTTGTGCTCTTTGTAGGCGTGGTGTCTGATCTACTAAAATAGAGAGTGTCAGGTATAAAACCTGTGAAATGAAAAGGCTTGAAAAGTGAAAATAACATTCAGACTGAAGATCCTGGTGTGCTTCTGCTGGTTTTACTTTGTTACTGAAAACAGAAGTAGGTGATAGCATAATATTTGTATTTTACAGTGAATTTCCAAGTGCCAATGAGTTGATATTTATTAGAAAGACTGAAAACAGAGAGCATAATGCCTGTCAGTTGTCTTTGGAAGCTGATCACTGCTACAAAACTTGATAGATTCAGTGAATCTTAGTTCAGTTCATGTTTATAACACGCTTTGCTCTTCTGATTTATCACGCAGTTAGAGTTTTGTTCTGTATCAGAATCCACGTTTTAAAACTCCATTTAATAGATAAATGCAAAACTGCTACTCATGTTAAGCTTTAGGATCAAGTCTGTATGACGTCTTTCAAAAAAAGGCAGAGATGCCAACATTAAATGTAGGTATTTGAAATACATATAATGAATACATATTTTAAAATTCCTGATTACTTGCTCAGATTTCTGTCTGCTCTCTACTATATGGGTCACCTACTCTTAAAGAGGGCTTCACACTAACTTATTAGGATTTTTATTTCAGTAGTGAGGTGGTTTTCATAGAAATATGAAAATTCAGTTGTTAAGGACATCTTTTACTGACAACTTTTCAGCTTTTTTTAAGAGAACATTTAGTGTGGACTGCTCTAGTGAACAAAAGCTGTTCACTCACAGAAGCCCTTGCACAAAAAAATACTTGTTTTTTTTCAGTATGTTTGTACAGGTGAGCCCAAACCAATCCTTTTTGATGTGTAACTGCTTTCAGTCACACAGCCAAGGAGAGCACTCCAGTTTTCTGGAACATTAACTTTTCATCATGGAGTAGGATCTTTGATGGATGTTTATTCACATCATCACCTCATAAAATTGTTCAGGGTGCTGATAAAATGTGAAATCTTTAACACAGCACTTTCACAGTTACTGAACAGTTGAAATAAATCATCCTTAAAACTGTATGTGGTAAGAATGTACATTTGCTATATTACTATATCTATATAATGCATTGTTTATGGAATTGTAAAATTACTTTTTGAATTCTAAACAAATGAGTATTTTTTCCTCATAACTGATGCTCACTTTGTTTTGGTTTGGTTTGGGTTTTTTTTTTATGCTTTTGGTGTGTAGCATTTTTGACATCTAAAACACTCCACTTCCTAGAAATGTGTTAGCTTTGACTATATGACACATGGTAACAGACAAGAAAAAAAGATTAAAATACAATGTTGCTTTTTAGCAGATCTCGAATGAGATCCTGTTCTTGATTTCTGACAGAATGATCTTTCCATTAAGTCTGTGAGAAGATGTTTCATATGTTTTAAAGGATATTAAATTACCTTTTTTTTAAAAAAAAAGCCCCCAGTAGAATTTATACTGATGTTAATATAAAGAAGTTCAAGAAGATATATCATTTGAAATACAACTTTTTGTTTTAAAGTACCCATTAGTGCTACGGCATTGTCTTCACAATAATGGAATAATTCACTCAAAAGATCCGAGCAATATAAAACCAGTCTCTAAATGTAAAAAGATTAAACAACATTAAAAGGTACAGTGAATATATTTATATCATCCACAGTGTGAATAGCTTCAGTGACTCGGGGGATTTCCAAGTCCCCTAGGGCTGATTTGCACTAACTTCTCCATGCTTGGGATACTACCATCACCATTAAACAAGAATTCTACCGCAGATGATTAAGGAATATTTCATAGGGTATCAGAACTAGTGGCTTGTTGTTATTCTAGTGAATGCAAGAACAGGGTTTCTGTTGATGTACAAGCAGGACCATATTTGAATAGCCAGTGCTGCTCCTGAAACCAAAATGAGCAATTAGCCCTCCCCATCCACCCAGTGAAGGCAGGGCATGAGTCATGCGCTGAAACAAAGCTGATCCTGTAGTTAGGCTTTCTGATATCTTAACATTCTTGTCTAAATATCCCTGATATATTGACTTGTTTTGAAAATACCACAGAAGGATAGGATAAGGCAGCATGCTTGTCCTGATGTTTGCTATTACAAGACAAATAAGAGCTAAATGACAAATCATTAGTTGCTAACTTGTTACAGCTCTACTAGTTTTAGTGAGGTTGTGAAGATGCATTATGGCAATTTCTACCAGCAGATTTACTTGTCTAAGCCCAAAGCAAGAGTCACCAGAAGAAATAGGAGCAGTATTAAAGTGATCCACAGAAGCATTGTGGACTGAGTAACTGGAGTGTGTCCATCCTTCCAGTTCACTTTTCTTCTCTGTCCACAGAAGTGTAGAGGTAGCTTTAGCTTCATTGCTTTACTCTTTAATTTGTTTGTACTGTGAAAATGCAACAGCTTGTTTATTGTTTATTTTTATAGCTGTTTATAGCAAGATATAAAATATCCTATATTTTGTATTATAAGCTCTTTCAGTATTATTTTTTTAAAAGAAGAAAGGTAAAATAGTAGTACATTTTAATTGCAGACAAACTTATTCTTTAACACAACTACTGCAAATGTTCTACTCAGTACAGCTTCTTCAGTGTGCACAGTCATGTCTCCTGAAAAAATGGACTTTCAGTTGAGCAAGCAAAAAAATGGGTCATATGCTGTGCTGTGGTGGACAATCACCCTTCTTTACTTTACATAGCAAAGGAGGGCTTGGCTTGCCCTCACTCCTCTGTGGGAAATTTGGAGAATCCAGGCAATCTTCTTAGTTTTGTTACAGTGTTAAACATTTGGAAGAACAGGAAACCTGATTTGATCCCCTGTCCCAGACTAGGGACTGTGTTCGACTTTATCCATCTTCCACTTTGCAAGGAAGGAGAGATTAGAATGAAAAGCTGGCTTCCCTGTAGCCAGCAAGCTATTTCAGTTATAAGGACAGAATTAAATCAATACCACTTTTACTAGAAGAGATGAAACAATCCTTTCCCTCTCTGATGAAATTCTCCTTTCCCTCTCTTTCCATTACTTTGAAAGTTGTTTGACACTGATCAATACCTTCTCTCCAGCTTCCTTGCCTGAAACTTTTGCTGCTGGGCATCATCCCTACAAAGGGTTTGTTAGTCAGCTGGGAAGGTGCGCAATCAGAACTGAAACAAAGGATTAGAGGAGTAGAGTAGCAGCAGCAGGCTTACAGGGAATTCATCCACCAGAAACCTGGAGGGAAGAAATGGCGAAATGAAGGATTCAGCTTGCTTTTGTGTGTCCAGAATATCTGTCAAGTGGTAGCTATACGAAGAGGTTATGTAAATATGTGTGAGCAATTTTGTAAACATCAGGCGACTGCATAAATGAGAGTCTGTAAAAGGACAAACTTTGTGCCTTTTCATCATGCATTGATTATGTTTTGAAGTGTAACACCTCATACAGAAATGTTTTTCTTACACTTGTGAGTAGAATCAAACCAACATTGCAATCTGTTTTAGACCCTGCTATTCCTCCCGTTCTCCTTCTGCTAATCTCTAACAGTTTCCAGAGCTTGCTATTACATTTCAAATGTTTATTCAGATGTAAATTTCCTGACTGGCATATGGGTGTCCTACAAACTCAACATCTTTTGGCATGTAGAACCCACTGACTTCTACGTGACTTTCAATTCAATAGGTCATCAAAGCTACATAGGAATATTTGATCTTTAGTTTCTCTTACTGTGTTACAAAGCAAAAAGCAGTTCACAAACAGTTATCAATAAACATTTGACTGCACAGTCGGCTTTGAGAGTAAACAGGGTAATTTGCTGCTTTGACTAGACTTTGGAAATTGAGGAAAAGGGGGTGTATTTCCTACAAAGAGAGGTAGTTTTCTGTCTTAAGATGTATCTGCCCTCTGCAGGTACAGAAAGACCTTTTATTTGTTTGTTTGTTTGTTTCTAATCTAATTTGGATGGACCAAAGCCACCTGCAGTCCAGAAGTCATGTTAGTTCATTCATCTGTTCTGTCACGCCAACATGCTATAAAATGTGACCTCTTTCATAGCTCAAATACTTAAAAGCACAGAGAGGTCTGCAGCCATCTGTGTTAACATGTTGTTAGTTACCCTTACGGTCCAACAAAACCAATAAGGTTTAAAAAGTTGTCTTGAGTGATGTATTTTGTCACTCTTAGAAATGAATGATACAGGGAGAGACACAGTGCTGAGAAATTCTCCATTGCTTCATATTTTTCTAAGCAAAAGGACTCCCAGAAGCAAGGGAGTTTTCTCCTTGTCTACATGTGGCTGAAAAGAAACACCATAATTTGAATGTCCTACCTGTGCACTGATGCTGTGCTACAAGTCCAGCTTCCAACAGGTGGTCCCTCTCCTGTATAGCCTCTCTCAGCCAAATGGGATGCAATGTAGCATAACTCCACAATAAACAGAAAGGTAAGGAACAGACCACACAGGAGTATGTGTCCTTTTGCCTTTTCTCAGCAGCTGCTAATAACACCTGATTTAGGCTCTGATATCAGTAAGCTGCTCAGTTTTCACATGGTGAAATGACCATTTCCTACTGTTTTTCTTCTCCAGAGATAGTTAGAATTGGGGGAACTAACATGTTCTAAGTATCTATTGCCTGCCTCAAAAAATTCCTTTTCATTGATGCTGATATTTCAGTGCCAATTATAGAATCATAGAATCATAGAATATTTAGGGTTGGAAAGGACCTTAAGATCATCTAGTTCCAACCCCCTGCCGTGGGCAGGGACACCTTATGCTAAATCGTATCACCCAAGGCCTCGTCCAACCTGGCCTTGAGCACTGCCACAGATGGAGCATTCACAACCTCCCTGGACAACCTACTCCAGTGCCTCACCACCCTAACAGGAAAGAATTTCCTCCTTATATCCAATCTAAACTTCCCCTGTTTAAGTTTTAACCCCTTACCCCTTGTCCTATCACTACAGTCTCTAATGAAGAGTCCATTCCCAGCAT